TGTGCGATCAGGAGGTCTGAACGGACTTCGTTTTCTGTCCTTCATTCAAGTAGTTGTGTTGTTTAAGAAAAGGCCTTAAGTTTTTGGACGGCAATTACAGCAAAACATGATTAAACGAGGTAAAGTCCCATTTGGCCTCACCTCTGGCTGAATCATCTTCTATTGGCTGCTTAAAAAGTGTAATGTCTCTGAAGGTGCAGAGGAAAAGCACCACCTTGTCATTTTCATTCCTGATCGGTGCGATCTGCATGTAAAGCCATATTGGTGTTCCTGTCGGGGAGCAAAACAGAAACAAAGAACCGCGTTGTAAGCTGAGTAAATATGAGTTAATTGTGATTTTGCTTTCAACCAAACATGTTCGCACTCACTGTTTTTCGTGTACAGAAGCACCTCGTGGAAATTGGACTCGTGGCTGTCAAATGTTTGCCTGATTTTGTCTATAGTCTTTTTGTCGGTCAGGTCACCGTACATGAAGCTGCAGAAAAGGAAAGAGAGAACATTTAAATTTTTTTTTTTTTTTTTTTTTTAAATAAAACAAAATTTTCAAAATTTATAATTGCGAGGTTTGGTCGTCAATTCTACATCATCAAAGTAAATTTAAGTAAAGTAAATTTAGTAAATTTAAGTTGAATATCAGAATGTTTTCTTTCCTGCTTTACCCATAAATTAACCTTGATTTGGCCGGTGGGAGGAAGCCGTAGTATTAACGTCGTGCATGCACAAGGCCTCCCTCTGAGATCCACACATAAGACCATGCAGACATATGAGTTCTAGATGAGATTAAATAAACTAAACAAAACCATTTATATCAATCACAACCAAGACCAGAAAAAACAAAAAACAAAACAAAAAAACCATTATTTAAATCTGTGCACTTTATCGGAAAATAAATGTGCAAATCACTCCCTTCTGGATCCAGATATTTATTTTATAGTTTATTTTGGTTAATGGGTTTAGTTGTGATTTTTATCAGGGTTTTTATCATTCATATCTGCATAGGAATATTGCTTTGTTTTTTGTTTTTGTTTTTAAATTCAGTTTCCTCGTTTAGTTTGGACATGATTCATCATCGTAATACCTTTCTTCTGTCTGTGGTTTATTGTCAAACTGCAGTGTTGTATTTTCAGCAGTACCTTTTGTTTCTTTAAAATAAATTAAGACTTTTTTGTGATCCTTGTAGCATACTGTGATTTTGGTCTTGGCTCAAACACATTTCATCTTTAATCACATGGCCAATTAGTCACTATTTTTGCCCTACAACTACATTAAAAGCCTTTTTATAGGTAAATGAACTTCTCTGTTGGAAACAAAAATCTGTTTTTTGCTGGCTTTTTTATCTTTATTCCCTAAGGTGGTAAGGAAACACCTTGTGTTTGATGTAAAACTACGATTCAAAACTAAAAATTAAGTTACTCTATTTGTCCTATAGAGCTGGATTAGGATCTGTAAAAGTGCATTGGATTTAGCTGTAAACCTTAAGCTTAATTATCGCTTTTCGTTATTCTAATTAACTGAGTTGAGATTAATAAAGAAAAATCAACCTGGCTGCAGAAACTCAGATTCTAAAAACTTTTTCAACCCTAACATCAATCAAAACATGAGTACTTATTCTTGGGGGAGATGAAAAACTTAAAGATATATAGCACAGACCGTCCACTCCAGCTTGACATTCAGCTTCATTAAAGCACAGATGGTGTCTTACTTGCATGTGCTGCTCTTGTGCATGACCTCAGCTCTGTGGTAACCGGACAGCTTGCAGAATCCATCGTTGCTGTATACAACTGGCCAATCTAGGATCTGCGCATTCCCCAAAAGGAAACTGGTTTCTGACAGAGTAGTAGAAGAAAAAAGAAAAAAAAAAAAGGAAATTTAGGACTGAACATCCAGAATACACTTCGAGTGTCCACAGCATTACACAAACTCTGCTTATACTGTGCAAAGAGTTGCAAATTATAACACAATCCAGCACTGACACTTCAAATTTCTCCACCTGACATACTTAAAGGAGATAAGAGGCCATTCAGAAAGCCTTATCTGAAGCTTCAGTGAGCAGAAATATTTGCTGATAAAAGGTTTACGTTCCAGCCTTAATGCAAATTAAATATTGATGGCCAGCTTAAAAGTTTCCCAGCCATGTAACGGTTAAAACACAGACTGCAGAATGGAGAAGTAGAGATGGAGCACAAAAGATTTCTAATATCTGACAGATCTCCACGTTTAAGATGTTGAATTAACTAGTACTAGAATAAACACATGCTCTGCCAGCTTAACTGATGACGTCTGCATTTCCATTTGCTACTAATCAAATGAGAGGAACAAACAAACAAATACAGTTATCACACAGTCAGCATGTATAATAAAAAGGTTCACATGCAGCATCCAGAGACTCCCATGAAGACTGTGTCTGCCATGGGATGTTGCAACGGCAGAATCATTAAAAAAGCATTACCGTAAGACATTGCTCGACTGAGGTGAACAAGTAGAAGCTATATGGCATAAATCACATTAACAGTCCCTTAAGTGGAGAGAAAGAAGCGCTACTTTAAAAATGGCTGCAAGTTGAGTCTGTTTTCGTATGTGCTCAGTGACTGTGGGCGCTGCTCTAAAAGAAACAAAGAAAATTTGCCTTGAGGTTTTCGTATAGTGTTTACTGGCAACGCCTTTAGGTTTTAACTTGTTACATTTTCTAACTTAATTATAATCAGAAAGAAGCTAAATAACAATAAAGCAACCGGTGGAGTACAACTTATTTCTACAGCTTACACTTGGGAGCATGGCTTTAATGTAGACAATACGAATAGAGAGTTTTACTCGTTTAATTTCACTGATTTCATCCGGCGAGTTTGAACACCAGAGGTGGGTTATTACATGATTAATCAGAGCGCATAAAAGTCAGGATCCGGAGAAAGAAAATTAACCGCTTAACCGCAAGAAAGGTTTTTGTCCCCCCCATGAGAAGCACTAAAACATACTTTAATGTCATAGAACCTAACACGCAACAAAAAAAATAAATAATAATAATAATTAAAAAAAAAAAAGATGCAAAGGAATTTTAGAAAAATTAAAAGGACGGCACTTTTGTGTATTTCTCCGCTTTTAAGTATGAAACTCACCGCTCGAGCGCCTGACGATGTTTTCCAGGAAAGTGTTCTGCGGAGCCACCAGACCCCTCTTGCCTCCATGCATGGTGGAGGGATCCGGGCAGAGGCTCGCTGATGCGCCGAGGTGGTGGTGCTGGTACCCACAGCCCGTCTCTGCAGACTGCCCCGTAGCAACTCACACCACGTACGGTCAAGCACACCAGAGAGGAGACAGCATATCCGGTGGACAGTTTAAAAAAAATAAAATCTCCAATCCTAGAATGAAGAAAAAAAAAGAACAAAAAATGTCCTCACGCAAACTGAATCAATGGTTTCAACTGGATTATGTTATCCTGTCTCCACTAATTCATGGCCTGTTTTCAAACATATAGCTTAAAAACATCACTATTTGATATAATAGATCTTGTAAATAATACGTTATATAAGACTCACTGATCCACAAGCTGTTATCATATTCTTACACAAATGCAGACATTTTTTTTAGACTTCTGGCCAAGGTATAGCAGATAGCATCTCTCAAAAACAGATTAATATAGGTAATAAAATATAATCTGTCCTGATGTGTGTACAGATTCATGTGTTTTGAACATCCGCCATACCAGTAATGTTGGCTATCCATAAAAATAATAATGATGCAAATAATGTTAGGAATAGTTTTATTTTGAAGGGCTCTCCACTTGTTTTCCGGCTCTTTCCGAGTGCACTGTTTGATTTTTTCTCTCTCTTGCATTTAACAGAAGATTTTTTTTTTCTCTTCCACAAGAACATATATTTCTGTAGCTATGGAGATAATAAGAAAGAGAAAGAGTATATAAAACGACATGGTTTTGTATATATATAAAAAATATATTTGGAGCCTTTAAAAAATAATTTACTTGAAAGAGAAAACTCAAAGCATGCATTACACAAAGAAAACAATTGTTTGATATAAAAAGGATAATTAAATAAATAACACATACATATTAGTTTAGGGGAAAAAAATCTATAGCTTTTATTTGTTTTAGTGAACATGTCAATATACTTTGCACTCATTTCTCATTGTAGAGTTTATGGTAAGCATAAGGATTTTTGTTGTGGGAGTGGGAGGTCAGACACACACCGCCTCCCCCGCCTCACCCCTCACACACTCCTACACACACACATGCAGCGCACAAGGCATTTATGTTGCGAAACCTCTGACTATACAGATTTCGGGACTGTAGAGACATTTACGTGCACATTTTCCAATTTCAAACTTTGAAATGTAATTCTAAATTCTAAGTTAAAATAAAATGCCTAATTACACCACATCAATTGACCAACTAACCAACCTGCTTCAGATGGTTATACTTGGAAAACCTGGTTGTTGGAGATATTGATAAAACTTTGGAGATTCACTGTTTGTGACACTATCAACAATAATAATGCAAATATACACTGCTAAAAATATTCATCTTTAAGTTTTGCATTATTCAGGCAATCAACACTGACATGTTAAATGCTTTTTTTATTTTTATTTTCTTCTTTCTTTTGGTGGTAACTCAAAATGCAAGGGAATAAATACTACATCTTATTCCTGTTTTTTAAACGTTGCCACGTTTGGAAGGAGAGCACTTCTTTGAGGTTAAGCAGTAGAGTAATATATGAACTGCACCCATAAAAAAACTTGTCAAATCCTCTGTCCCAGAGCAAAGCTTGCAAGCTAATCTGTATTTCCATTGTTTGGAACTTTTTTGTTGTTGTTGTTGGAACATTGAAGTTTAAACAAGTAACACATGTTTGGTAAATGAACACTTTAATAATTTAACCAACAGAGACAGTGTGTGAGAGAACTATACACACACAGGACGTTTTTATATCTCGTATTCACTGTGTGTTATGTGATAGACGTCCAGTAGGAGGCGGTGCTTAAACATTTTGGAGAGTGAACAACAGAAAGTAACGCCAGGAAAAGAAGAGGAGAATAAACGGTCCCAGCGGTTTGACGCAGTTTATTTATATGAACGCATCGCACTGTAACTAATGGTTAACTGTTACGGACTTTGGATGCCGGTGTCTCTAATAGGACCACGCCACCGAACAAAGTCGGTATTTTAAATGCCGAGAGCAGGACTTAAGAGAGGTATTCCGCACCGGTCTTCCTGCTCAGAGCGGTTTTTTTTTTTTTCAAAAGGGACCATAGTTACCATAGTTAGCTTTCCCGATGATGAATTACAACTGAAAACAAACGGTTTTGTGTAACGAAAAATAAGTATTTATAGACATGGCGAACGTTGCTGTAAATAAGTTTGTAGAGATTTGTAATTATCTCCAAGACCCCATCCATGTCGCCAGGTTTCAAAATTTCTGCGGCGTTAAAGGGACATTTCCGGAGAAGCGGACCCAGCCGGACAGCGGGCAGCCGGACCCGGACGCTCCGGGACTCAGACAGAGGGTCCAGCAGAGCGCGGATGAAGATGTGGGGAACGGGGATATCTCCTTAGCTCAGGTTAACGAGAATCAGGAAGAGGACACGACCAGGCCCAATGGTCCAAAAGCGGCAGAGACCGTCAGAGCGCCCCTCCGGAGGAACTCCCTGACCGGGGATATGGGTCAGGAGTTCCTGATCCAAAACAAGTTCCTCTTCTACCTGTTCACCTTCGGGACAGAGCTTGGCAACGAGATGTTCTTCATCGTCTTCTTTCCCTTCCTCTTCTGGAACATCGACGCACTGGTCAGCAGGAGGCTCATCGTGGTCTGGGCCTGGAACCTGTTCGTGGGACAGTCTACCAAGGACATGATCCGCTGGTCCCGACCGGCCTCCCCTCCCGTGGTCAAAGTGGAAGTCTTCTACAACTCAGAGTACAGCATGCCATCCACGCACGCCATGACGGGGACAGCCATACCTTTCTGTCTCTTCATGCTGACCTATGGACGGTGGGAGGTCAGTATGTTCGTTTGTTTCACATTCAGGGTGAGGATATTATCAGTGGGAACTAAAGATAGCAGATGCTTCAGGGAAAGGATGGTGTTTAATGACCGTTATGTCCAGATAAGAACAGCTCCAGTTTGAAGCATCATGGAACCTGCAGACCACCAAGGGCCACTCAAAGGTTCACTGGCCTCTTGCTTTAGTTTAAATTGCTGAAGGTTTGTTTTTTCATCTAAAACCTTCAGCTGACTAATTAGGTCAGGGATCAGTTCAGTTCCTCTTTTATCACAGAAATATCCTCACTTATTAGGCTCTGACTTCTCAACTTGCTTTGCTTTTTCGGTAACACTTTATTTGAAGGGGTGTGCATAAGGCTGACATGACACTGTCATAAACATGACATAACACCTGTCATGAACATAAAGAAGGCTTTATGAATGTCTATGACTGTTGTCATGAAGTGTCATTCGGTAAATAATGATACTTTTAATGCAAAGTTGCTCTAAATGTTGCATTAAAAGTGCCAACTTTGCATGAGTTTGTAAATTATGATAATTTAATGCAAAGTTGGCATTTTTAATGGACTATTAATGCAACTTTTAGAGCAACTTTGCATTAAAAGTATCATTATTTACCAAATGACACTTCATGACAACTGTCATTTAAACATTCATAAAGACTTCTTCATGTTCATGACAGGTGTTGTGTCATGTTAGAGTGTCACGTCAGTCTTATGCACACCCCTTCAAATAAAGTGTTACCGCTTTTTCTTTAGATTCTAAACTTTTTACATTGGAATATAGTTTTTAAAACACAATTTTTAGAATTGCTTGCAGCCTGAACACAAAATAATTATCTACTGTTCACTATTAACATTTTTGTCACAAATGGAGATGTAACATTAGTTTGCCTGGAGATGTGGGTATCCCAGTTCTCTGTTGATCAGTGACTGGTGGGGGAAAATACAGAAAAACCTCTTTCTGTATGAGCTAAATGCTTCAAAACAAGAACTTTTTTCCCCCCATTTTTGATCTAAAAGTGCATAAACCAACAGCATGTACTTAGTCTAATGCATTTGACTTTCACTTTAGGAGAAATCAGATTAAGGCTAGATATGCTTTTGTGTATAAATGGGGAGAATCTTGTAATTTCTTTCATAAAGGTTGCCATATTCATTAATGCTGAAATGCTACAAACGATCCTAGAAATATAAGGGTGCGTTCACACTGCAGCCTGAAGTGACTCAATTCCGATTTTTTTGACGTAATGCGACCTGTATCCGATCTTTTCATGGCAGTGTGAACAGCACAGGTCGGATTCTTTTTCGAATGTGACCCATATCCGATACGTATCCGATTCAAATGCTTCCTATCGTTCAGGTCGCATTCATCCGAACTGAACGTCACTGATTCTCAACAAATCTCACTATTCTGCGTCCTGCTACTCACAAGCGGGAAGAAAAACAACAACCATGACGAATTATATGAGGATTAAGTTGTTAATATGCTGCTCCGGCCGGACACCAACTTCAAATGTGTAAGCTAAGCTCCACCGTTAGCCTCAATGTTTACTTCCGCAAACACTGAGCACTTCTTCTTTTTATGGCAGTTGGCAGAACACTTAGAACGCTGTCGCTATGGCGCCCTCTACTGCGCATGCGGGACACTTTCAGGTCGTTTGCCCGTTCAGACTGCAGAACGCATACAGGTCGCATTTATTGGCAGTGTGAACGGCCCTGGCAAAAAAATCGGAATTGCCAAAAAATCGGAATTGGGTCACTTCAGGCTGCAGTGTGAACGCACCCTAATTTTATACATTTGTTGTCTTTTGTCAATGTATTTATATACCTGTTTATTGCCATCGGTATCGAATGTTTTTATAGGAATTAAGGACATGCTTAAGAAGGAATCTCAAAAGGTTCCCTGGGGTATTTAAAAAATAAATATTCTGCAGGATGCAGCATGTTTTCTCTTCAGGCCGTCCCAGCAGGGTTATCTGATCAAAAATAACTGAAAGCAGCTAATCCCAATTTACCTTCTGTCTTCAGTCATAAAGAATACCTGTGGAAAAGAAGCTTAAAGATGACGAAAAATTGAAATCTCTCTCATGCGTATGAGAAGCAAATCCTGCCCTGTTGAGGCCGACCAACAGGTTGTCTTAGTGGTTATTATTTAAACTCACTTCACTGCATTCTAGTCAATGTGACTGGCAGGAAGAGAACGTTTCGTCATTTCCTACAATTGAAAATCATGACCGGTTAGTCCGGCTATCATTCTGTTGAGGTTTTCATAACAGTTCAAACAATAGCAGTGCTCAAAGAAAGGAACTGTTCTTTTTAAGAATTCTACACATTAAGTGCATTTTTAGCCCTGCAATGAACTGGTGGACTTGCCTGGGCTGTAAGGAAAACGGTGTTTGGGAAATGGATGAATGGATGGATGAAAGTAATTTTTTGCGTATTAATAATAAATGAGAGGAAGGTTTGACCTATGTAGGCATGCTTCTTAGAAACAGATTGCCCAGAACGTCAGACACGCCTCTTCTTCTTATTAATGCTTACCTGTTTGTTTAAGCTTGCTCTGCACAGCCTGACATTTGGTGGGTATATTTTCCAATATGAAAACTATTTGAGAACCGTGTCAAAATATGTGCTTTACCATTTCCCCTTGGCGGTTTCTTGCTAAATTATTTGCTGACATGCACACTCGTGCTGATAAAACCCCCTGACAAGCATAAAGATCACCCACGCAGGAGGAGACAGGCGAAGGCAGAAGCTGTTGGAGTTCAGTGGGAAGAGACATAAAAGGGAAGTTTGGGGGGGAAGAGAAGCAAACACACTGGAAAGTTGTGCTGTTTGTTTTTTGGGGTGTAGATGCAGAAAACACATGCCGGGAGACAAAGCACGAGGTCACCAGTAGGAAGGAAAAGTTCAAGGTTTTATAGTTGAGGAATCTGTTGACGGGGAAAAAAAGAAGAAGAAAAAAAGAAAAAAGCAGGCAGCGGATTTTAAAGCTGTAAAGGGAAACGAACGCACATCACCGCTGCCACCTGGCACTTAATTTATGAAGCGAGTAAAATATTCCACTGAAAGCGGGATAGATATTCAAGAAACAAGATGAGTACTCACTAATGTCCATTACATGAACAAATGTGAGTTTATAGGTAAAATGATTCAGGTCTTTTATTGAGCAGCTGATCTCATCATTATTATTTCTCTGTAGCGATTTAAACTGTTTATTTTTCTTCTTTCTATAGAAATGTGTCTCCAACTCTGAAATAGCTTGAAAAACATAACTTTTTGTTTGTTTGTTTGTTTGTTTGTTTTCAGTGCAACTGGTAGTTTCTGCATAATTATAACAATAATTAATTTTATTTATAATGTCCTTTACATCAAATTGAGATGGTCTGCATCATCAGCAGGCACAGCGCGTGAGGTGTCTTGCCCAAGGACACAAATGACGAGGGTTGGCAGAGCGGGAATTGAACCGGCGATCCACCGATTGTAGGGTGAACTCCTACAGCTGTTGCAACAAATTTTCAATATAAATTTCCAATCATGATGTAAATCTGAGTCGCATCCTGTCAGCGGTGTTTCTCAGCTCTCCTCGTGATAAGGAGACGTTGCAAACCTGTGTACCAACACGCATGTATGAATCCCTGCACCAAACACACACACACACACACACACACACACACACACACACACACACACACACACAAACACACACTCTGCCACCTTGCAATCCACCCTACTGCTGCCTGTATGACACTTTTCTAACGTTGTTCTCTGACATTTAAATAACATTCAATCTTAATGACTCAAACACTATCTATGCCTCAAGAATTGAGCAGTGCGTATCTCTGAACTTTATCTCAAAATGCTATCAGACTGTTGTTAAATGCCATAACCTTTATCTTTTTCGCAGAACTTTCTTAAACAATCGATGACTTGTGACTAGGAGTCATTGTTAGAATGCTGACGTCGCTCATTTGACTGAACGCACTGCGGACATCCCTCCTCACACAGTGACCTCTGCTTAGTTTCTTACCTTGACAGAAATGAACCAAATATTCAGAGTCTTTAGAAGATGCCAAGGGTGGCAAGATGACCATATGGCAATATATAAAAATCTCCATTCTGCTATCAGTGTCCCGTTATCATTGCTGCTGTCCTTCAGCGTCTTACTGTGACACGTCGGGAGAAACCCTGACGGCAAAACCCACAGCCACAAAGCTTGCGTTTCTATGGGATTACCTGTTTAATCTATGGGATTTCTATGAGATTACCTGTTTAATAACGTGCTGTTTTAACCTGTGTGTGCTCTCTTCTGCAGTACACCTTCCTGTTTGGATTGTCTGTGGCTCTCAGCTGGAGCCTCCTGGTCTGCGTCAGCCGAGTCTACATGGGCATGCACTCTGTTCTGGTGAGGTGATTAAATAATTACATTAAAATGAAACTGATTCCTGACATGCCCATTGTCTCCCATCAGCTACTTACGCCGAAGTCCCAGTTCTTAAAGATACATTACAAGTGCGGCCTTGAACTTCTGTGGTCTCGACTCATGAGCTGGTTGTAAACAATAGAAACATAATCTGTGTATGACTGCCGTCTGGAAAAGTTAAATTGGCTTCAGCTCTCATGAATGACCCAGTTGAGTTCTTCGCTTTCATTTGAAATATATTACACTCTTGGGGAAATTGCTCAAATATGAAATCAGGGTTAAATTGAGAAGGTTTTTTGCCTTGACTTAAGCTTTGTTTGTGGAAGCAGGATAAAGCCTCCAGGAATGGCAACCCCGGGTTCATACAAAAAAAAAAAAAAAAAAAAAAAAAAAACTTTACTGTGGTGCCTCTTCAGTTGTTACAGTTCCTTATCTTTTTGCTTTGCACAAGCTACAAATGAATCTTTGCACAGAACTCCAGTTTATCTCTTTAGTTTGGGTTTAAGTTAGAGCTGCAGAATATATCAAGTCAGTACTGATCACTGGCATATTAATATGTGCTGCACACAATCACAAAGGACTGCTTGGATGCAGTATTTGGCAGCGTTATTAGTTTTATATATATTTGAACTTTATCTGTGTTTAGTGCTTGATAACACTGCATTGCTTCTAGAACATGATTATAAACATATTAAAGCCTGTAGATAATGTTGGATTCGGTGGTGCAACCTCAGAAGCTGCAGCCTATCAGCTGATTTGTAGATATATTGGTTATCTTCTGCATTGTCCAATAGTAAAACAGGTTAAGCCATCAGATCCTCACCTGATTTTTTTTTTCTAGAACTTTTTACTACCAGTGCTGAAATAACAGGGGAACATAGCGCCTCCTTCAGGGCGGAAAGCATCATTGTGTCTTTTGTGATTTTTTTTTTTTCAGGATGCTGAGCTAATGCTTGCAGTTTTGGCTGACTGGTTCTTTTTTTTTTTTTTTTTTGTCTGTTTTACAGGAAGTGATCACTGGCTTCCTGTACAGCCTTCTGGTTCTCGCCTTCTTCCAGCCGACCTTGGACAAGATCGACAACTACTACATGACGGGCCATTACGCTCCTCTCGCCATCGTCTTGTCACATGTGAGCCTGGGACTCGTAGCGTTCTCTCTGGATTCGTGGAGCACCTCCCGCGGCGACACCGCTCAGGCTCTCGGCACCGGGGCCGGCGCCGCCCTGGCTTCACATGTGAACTACCAGCTGGGTCTGCTGCAGGATCCTCCGCTGTCCTCGCTGCCGCTAACTCTGCCGCCGATCACCACGGGTCTGGTGTTGCGCTCCGTGCTGCGCTTCGTCATCGGCGTGGCCGTCCTCCTCGCCACCAGAATGGCCATGAAAGCAGTGACTATCCCGTTCTTGTGCCGACTTTTCGGGTTGCCGCCTGACGACGTGAGGCGGGCGAGGCAGCAGATGAAAGTAGAGCTGCCGTACCGTTACATCGTCTACAGTGTTGTAGGTTTTGTTTGCGTCTGCTTTGTGCCTGTCCTCTTCTGGATCTTAAACCTTGCCTAAGTTTTCTATGCAAACTGTTTGGACATTTTGACGGACGATGCCATTTGGGAATCTGCTGCTCGTTCAGGCAGAACGCAAGTTGTTTCCGGAGCAACCGAAGCATAGTTAAAGGATGAAGCTGATATTTGGGTAAATAAATCCAACCAGAAAACCACAAAGGGATGTAATTATATCAAATGTTGTCTCAGCCAAAGAAAATCTAAAAAAATAAAATAAAACACAGCAAACCCCAACAATATATTAAAAATAAATCTTCCTTTTGTCCTAAGAATCTATATTTAAATACACGTGGCCCACTGAAGCACTCATTTATTTTTTTAAAGATGCATAATCTCTCTTTAATTATTAGTTTTTTAGTTAGTGATGCATTTCTAATTAAAAGGAGAAACCTGATTTACCTTCATCTATGACATTGACCTACAGAAACACTGGCAAATCACAATTCTGTTTTATTTTTTGAATAATTTAAAAAAATATAGAAGAAATGTGCTGCAAGATATGTTTTTTCATTCCAACAGAAAATGAAAGAACCATTTCCTTCATTTTCTGTTATGTCATTCAGTTGTTATTCTGTTCACAGACTGAAAATGGTGAGCTTCTTGTTCTGATGCAGTTAATGAAAGGGGAAAATATGTTTTTGGCTTTTTTGTCTGAGATGGCGATTTCTTATTAGAAATTATCAAAGGAAAATTGGACAATTCTGATCTCTGGTCAATAGATTGGTGCATCTTTACTCATCTTTTCATTTTTTTAATTCACATCTTTCACCACAATTATCGACAAACATCTGCCTCTCGTCTTTTCCATTCTGCCGAATAGCTAACTGGCTTTCATGCCAGTAAATGCAGAGTGCACAGTAAGTGAAAGAAAGTGCAGTATTTATTTCTAACTTTTAAATATCTGAGCAAAGAAAACATTCAGTTTAAGACAACAGTAAAGACAACTATTGCTATTTATTAACATGCTTAGCCTCTGTCCTTCAGATGTAACAATTATTATATCAAAAACAATATCACGGCCCTTTAAAGATTTCCATATTGTCAAGGCGTTTAGATTTCAACTGGGCCTTCAACGTGTATTTCAACAACTACGTGTTTCAAATGTATTCTAATGGTTTTGAGTTCACTGTTGAAGACCCTATTTCACATTTCCAAAGGTTGTTAAAATATCCAGCTGTATTCTTTTAGAGATTCATATTTTCAAAATAATTCAAACCACAGGAGAGATTGTGGCAGATCTCATTTGCGGCAGTGTTGGAAGTGAATTTTAAAAGTATTTAAATGCTCATGCATCAGGGACCTTCATTATTGGTTTTTGACTTTAATCTTTTTGTGTTGTGTTTCAGTATTTCTACTGATTATTCAGCCCAAATATAAGTACACTCAGAAATAACCATTTGGAGAAATAATAAGCATATTTTTTTTGATAAATTACCTGAAATTTTGCTTTTGCAACAAGTAATCTGTAAAATTGTCTCTTATTTATTGTTTTGGTTTCCAAAGGCATCTCATCTGACATTTATAAACTGCAATATATAACAACTTTGACTCTACTTTTGCCGTTGATATGACTGTTTGTATTTTGTTGTAGAGTAGGTTAATTCTGGTATTAAAACCAATATATCCCTTTTCATATGTAGATGTTTTTCCATCATCAACTCTTTCCTTTTATACCAGAACAATGCACATTAACTCGGAAACAATGAAAAAAAAATGTTTTTTTTTGTTTGTTTTTCTGTCATATATGTTCATATGTGCTCTTATTTGGGGCTAAATTGGTATCTGTTAAGGCATCATACTTCTTACTTTCAAATATAATTATTCATTAACAAATTCAAACAGATAAATACTTTTCCAAGTCTGTTTTTTTTTAAAATAAACTTTGACATACTTACATCCGTAATACATATTACATATGTTAGAACATTGTAAAGGACTGGTCGATGTTTAACTTAAGCTATAGGTGTGTCTTATATATGTATTTTTCTTCATTCAGCAAAGTTACTCACAAGTCAGACTCAAGGTCAGAGCATCCAGAATCTTTACTCAAGTAATACTTACCTAAGTTAAGGTAAAAAGTACAGTTTAGTAAAATTACTCTTAAAAAGTATTTTTTGTCTTAATGTGACTGAGTAAATGCTAGTTACTACCTACCTCAAGGAAATGTCTACAAGAAAATATTCACTTGCATCTGTCTATATCTTGGGACATTTAGGTGAATATTAATAATTATTGTTAAATTATTAATTTGCACAAATTTAAGTTATATGTTTATTATTATATTATATACTTTTATATTTTTGTAAGCAGTTATACAACTATTTTTTTTTACTGTGCTCTTTTACTATGATATCAACAAATATTTTATATTACTATTTTCAAAAATATCATGCTAAACTTTTATTTCGAAAAACCGAAGAGGAACTCGGGAACCCGGAAGTATGACACTTGCTGACAAAAACATTTGCTTTCAGCAGAAGCGGAGGTTGCCAGTGAAGCAGCAACGCAGACTTAACCGGGATAAGTTAAACTTTCTTGCGAACTGACTACATAAGCCTTGAAACAATAATAAGGGACGCGATTTAACATCCATTTCTAGTTACGTCTTTGTAGCTGCACTTGCTAGTGGCTGTCAGTTCATTCGGATGTTGCAAATCTGTTGGTTTTTAGATTATCTGGAGCCGTAGTTGTTCTCAGATTTGCCTGAACATTTAAGGAATATTACTTGACCTGTAAATAACCTATGTGAGCGGTGATATTGAAGGGAATTATTTCCCAGCTGCTGGTTCAGATGCCTTGCCTGGAAAAGTCAAAGGAAAGAAGGACAAATAGGTAAAAAAAATAACAAAAAAACTGATTTACAAGATTGCGATGTAAACAGTGTGTATTTACATAGACACTAAGAGTCTTTTTTGTTAAATAAAGTTACATCTCAGTGTTTTAGCTTTTGTAGAAGATAATCCAGAAAATCAAATTAACAAAATATTTTATCATTTTCTTCTCAATCATTCAGGCCAAAACTAGACTGGACGTTTGTCCAGAGGTTCTGCAGCATCCAGAGGGTTCTGTTCCCATCATGGTCCAGTCAAAGTGTGCTAATGTTCGGGACGCTGCTGGGTATCACTCTGACAGGTAGTTATGAACCCATCTGAGCAACCACAGACAGAAAGAGGAAATGAATTGCTGCAATCACACTGGTCGTGAAATAACAGAAACTTCTTGATAAAGAACTCTTGTTCCTTTTGTGTCTGACTGCAAAAATATGCATCCTGTTGCCGACCTTTAGCTTGGGTTTAGCTGCTTTACGACTCCCCATCTGACCTGTCTTTCAGCATTGCAATGTGCTAACACATCTTTTTTCTACCATCAGAGCAGCTGATCATTTACCAGGTGGGCATCCTCCCCAGTCACTTCTACAACGTGCTGGCAGACAAAGATTATTCCGGCTTCAGGAGTCTGATGGGAACAGCAATGGTGCTCATTTTGCTCAATTCCACGGTAAATTGATGTAGCAGTGATTGCCGGTATTGTCCCCTTATCTCTCATTCCTGTGACCACATGAGAATAAAGTCACACTGATTGATTTTCCCATTAAAACCTGGAATTTGGCCTCTGTCCAAAGTCACCTGATCCCCTGTCTTTTAAACTGCCAATGCTTTGATCATTGTCTTTCAGCAGATGTTTGTTTCATGTAAATCATGTTATTGATATAAGTTAGTCAGTTATATCTGTTTGTTTAAATCTTGACACATAATTCCACTTGTATTACTGAAATAAATTATTTTGTCCCTTCTCATTATACATGCTTAATTCTCTATTTTCTTAATTTATTTGTGCATTTTGTCATACAGTCATCTAGCTGTCTGACTGAGACGCCATATTATTTTATGGTTTGCTATAAAATTGTGTGATTGTTTCATCTTTGTGAGGTCAACCTGACATGTATTCTTTTTTTTTTTTTAACACGTATACTTTTACACTCTTATTTGATTCCCAACCTTATTGCAGTGTAGTGTCACAATACTTTTATGGATTTCAACTTGCTATTTATTTATTTTTTGCTTTTCAGCTTAAAAGTCTTGACCAATACATTTGCAATCAAATGTATGTCAGCTGGAGGACGACGCTGACTGAGAGCCTTCATTCGTCCTACTTCCAGGGCAGAGTTTATTACATACTAAATGTACTCCAAGAGGACATTGATAACCCGTAAGCATAAGGTTTTTTTTTTCCCTCCCTTACATTTCTACTACCCAAATAATTAAAATATGCATGCACAAATAAAATGTTACGTTTTACTGTGCACAACAGTCTTGAACTGTAAATCTCAATTTCTAAATCTTCTGGCTATTAAATCAGAGTTAATGCATCTGTTTTTCTTCTGCATCCGTGTCACTCGCAGAGACCAGCGGATCAGTCAGGATGTGGAGAGGTTCTGTAAGCAGATGAGCACCATGGCCAGTCGCTTGATTGTCTCACCGTTCACAATTTCTTACTACACCTACCAATGCTTCCGCAGGTCAGTGCGCAGGAAGACGTCGCGCTACTGCTACAGTATACATGTCCAACTGTCCAACTATGAAGCTAAGATGTTGTAAACTAACATGATAGGTGCAGTAAAAAAAAAAAAAAAAAAACATGAGAGCAGCAGAACGAGGTCGGAGTAGCTGAAATAAACGGCAAACTTTTATCCAGGGTGTTATGCCCCCCCAAGGTCTAGGGGTCCAGGGGCAGTAACATAAAATGTGTCCAGAGTAACAAGTGGAATGTAAAATTATTTCAAAAGGTTTCACAAAGCAATACAATGTATCCCAATTAATGCAAAACAAAAGGGATCAACAAACTCAAGAATGTCAAGTGCAAATTAAAGTTACAAAATGTCCAAACAAGTCAACTCAAAGTAAACACTCAAAATGGGGGGAAAAAAAAGAACACACAAAGGGAATGCTAAGGGGAGCACCAAGCCTCCCAGACACGAGCTTCAGGAGCCTTTTATATGGTGCAGGTGAGCCTCATCAACGATTGACTGGCTTGCCAATCCTCTGCTGGTCCAATGGTGTAGCTGCTCTCCTGCAGCCTTCAGGCAGCCAATCAGGAAGGTGTGCTCTCACAGCTGAACCTGCATAACAAAAAGGGAGCCTGCACAGCCTCAAGAGGCCAGGGGCCGTAACACAGGGAGAAATTTGAAACTTTTTTTTTTTTTTAAAGCAGATTGTCAAATGTTTCCTGATATTTTATTTATTTCTTTCACAAAGTGAAGCCACCAAAAGCAAAACACATTACACACGTTACATCCTTGAAAATGTTGTTTTATTATCTAGCATATTCATTTTATTACTTTCATCGGTTGTTCTTTATGTTTAGAAATTAGGTGGTGGTTTTATCTTCGTAACAGGCAGGAAAGCAGGAAAACGACGCAGTTTTCACATCACCTCCATCTCTGAAAATATGCCTGAAATTGGTCTTGACAAACAATGTAACGGATTCTTAATTGCATTTACGTTTCACAAAACGCCTAAAAATAAATTCCCTTTGTTTTTCAGCACCGGATGGATTGGTCCTGTGAGTATCTTTGGATATTTTGTTGTTGGAACTATTGCCAATAAAATCCTCATGGGGCCCATTGTGTCCACTCTGTTTGAGCAAGAGAAACTGGAGGGAGACTTCAGGTAACTTTCACACAAAAGCGCTGTGCACACAGTGGTTCGAGCTACTAACGCACATGAGGCTTTCCCCAGTGTTTGTTGCAAAGGACGTTTCTGTGGACTTTGGCGTGGTGCCTTTTCCTTTCTAAATAACGCAGGATATGCGTCGGCGCGCAGTTTATATTTGATCTTTTTTTTTTAATCATATGTTAAAACCATCAACAATATGTGCTATAAGTGCTTCCTTGATGCTTAAAAAGTGATTGGATGTTGTGCTGAAATAAATGTGCTGATTTATTTTCCAGATTTAAACACATGCAAATTCGTGTCAATGCAGAGTCCGCCGCCTTTTTCAGGTGAGTCCAAACAAATAATAATTTGTATCACATACGCACACAAAGCAATCAAACTCTCTATTCATTCACAGCATCTTTATATACATACTGTCAGTTTATGAGATGGTGATTCTTTTTATTTACTCAAATTTGATCTTTCAACTTCAGAGATTACGTCGGCCTTTTACGTCGTCAAATAAAAGCAGAACGATGTAAAATTTGGGGACTAAAATCTAGAGTTTCGTCTTAAATCAAGTCTTTAATAAATAGTTTCAGACCTTCAAATCTGTGTTTCTGTGCTGAAAGACGACCAGGTGTGAAACTGCATAAAAAGATTAGTCTGTGTTTCGTTTTCAGAGCTGGCAAAGTGCAGCACATGAGAACTGACCGAAGGCTGCAGGCCCTGCTGCAGACCCAGAAGAGCCTCATCAACAAGGAGCTCTGGCTTTATAGTAGGAACATCAACTATTAGCACACTTTGCCTCTGGAGTATTTCAAACGTCTTTGCTTCAACTGTAACTCTTCCTGCCACAGTTGGAGTAAACACCTTTGACTACCTCGGAGGGTTCCTCAGCTACATTATAATCGCCATTCCCATCTTCACTGGTGTTTACGATGGTCTCACTCCAGGTGAACTCAGCGCACTCATCAGTAAGGTGGGTGGGCCTGTTGTTTTAAATGCTCATGCAGTTGCTTTTTTCTTTTATTGTAACCTGTCATCAGCTCCTCCACGAGGAAGAGGCTGCAGAAATCAAATCTTT